CCCCCCCCCCCCTGTTTTTAGTGTTCCCAATTCCGTCGATCCGTAAGAAGGCTGCTCTACTTTTGAGTGAGATTTCCCGAGTTGGATCTGGGAATTGAACATTTCAATTTTTCAACTGGAATTTTTCAAACCGTAAGGAACCGCTTAAGTAAAGAAAGCAGATAAATTAGATAGTCTAACTGTTGCCGATTTATGAAAATAGGGCAACGCACAGCACCATTAGTATTGCCATTTGCTCTGCCAGAGGGCTTTGGGAGTCAGATGACTGTACAAGTTGGTGTGTTGGTGTGTGTTGGTGGGATGCGGAGCATGTCCCGGTACCCGCCCCGAGAGCGCGCGGCACGCCGGGAGGGCCCTCGCAACTCAGGGCTATCGGTAGGTGCAAGTCTCGCTTCGAGGCGAGGTCTACGAGCGGAGAAACGTCGATAAAAATGGCCCGAGGCTCACGAGATGATCAGGATTGCATTTCCTGCGATCTCGTGAGCCCTCGGCCCGTAGGAAATCAGTCCTACGGTCTATTTTGCTAGAGAAACAAGTTTTCTGACGGGGAATCGAACTCATGGCCTTGTGTTTACCAAGTCTTCAAGGGGAATACTGTCAATTGTCCTAACCGATTTGTTATGAAAGGCTGTGCAGGAGTGACTAGACAATAATATCTGGTGGCACCAGAAAACGATGTATGAGTCCAGAGCAAACGTCTAGAAAATCTTGTGCGACCACATCACACATTATTTTGTCACGACATTCCAGCAGAGGTCCCACCTGGCATCTCTCCCTACAGCTCCCCGTGTTGCTACTGAGCGGTGCTGTGGGATGAAAGTGCGCTTTGAGGATATGCCACGTATCTCCAACACCCGGTCACCCTGTTACAGGAGTACGACCGTGCGGCATAGAAGCTACCCTGTATCCTCTTGATTTTTCCCGTGAAATTTTCGCGCTCTCGTTCCCCCGCCTGTCTGCCACACCGCCCCTCTCTGCCAACAATCTTGTGTGCACACAGCATGATAGCTCGTACAGCAAGCCCAAAGGGCGCATGCCTGCTGCAGAGCTGTACAGGGGACGATTCATGTGGTGGATGCGGAAAGCGATATGCGAGACGAGTTATGCCGGAAAAGAAGCTACCAGATCAGAGAGGCTCTGGATCTCCCGTCCTCATGACTCAATGCGATGTTGTTTTTTCTTCTCTCTCTCCACCCCTGTCTGAAATGTGACTTAATTATTGTGCAACGCCCCCAAAGTGCATGATTTCAACTTTTCGTTGCACTGTGTAGCTGCCGCCATTCCATCATATCGACAACGAGAGTCGTAAGAGTCCGTGGCGTATGNGTTTCGTTGCACTGTAGCTGTCGCCATTCCATCATATCGACAACGAGAGTCGTAAGAGTCCGTGGCGTATGCTAAGCTACACCGTGAGCTGTGACCCCTGTCGTTTTCCAGCATGCTTTACGTCAACCATGCCCTCCTTCGCGTGTGGAGAGCCGAACTCGACCTCCCTGCTGCCGGTGTCACCATATGACGGCTGATTCATGCACACCGGATGGTCGCGCCTCGCACTCCAACAGAGGTTCAGAGGTTTGGGTTGTGATCAGGTATTACGTGTTCAAACGGCACTCGGAATACGACAGAGGGGAACACCGGAGCGTGGAGCCGGCAACTCCAGACTGACGCTACATTGTTTTTTTGTGTCGAATCAGCTCTCACAGCGTTCCTGCCGCGTACTCCAACCCGTGGTCACACACGAGGGTTCCTCTCCCTGAGACTCCTACCCACCCCTCCTGCGGTCCATGCCTCCATTTTGTGAAAGAGTGCAGCACTCTGTTGCCTCTGTGCAAACACAAACTAAACAGCGCCGTCCACCAAGACCAGGACGAAGCGAGAGAAATACTCATTCGCAAACAAAGCTCGCTTACACCGGGATTCGAACCCCTGACCTGCTTTGGGGAAAATTCTACACAACCTCCTCATGACCCTTACGAACTGGGCTACACACGTGCGGCTACAGGAAGCGTATGAACACTGTCTGGACTACCGGGGCAACCGGAGTCCACAGCACACCGGAAAGTCGCAGCGACATGTATGCTACGGGTGTAGAAAGGCAAAGGTCGACGGGTCGGCAGCGTCTACTCGTAGTCGTCCCACACAAAGCTGAGCTCATACGACATTGATCCATCACCGGGCGTGAGATCTTCGTCCCCGTAGCACGAGGCGCTCGTGTCGAGGCAGTCAAAGCTGTTGATGTTGTAGATCTCTTGGCATGCATAGGGAGACCCACCCGAAGCTGAGACTACGCAAGTGCATTCGCAGCAATCGCCGCCGTCGAAGCCTGTGCGATTTTTTGTGGGGAGGGGGAAGAGAGGTGACGCTGTGAGGGTTAAATTCTCACTTTTCCAAAACACGCATGATGCACCCGATTTTTCTCGGACTATCGGGACCATTTGAATGAAAAATAAGGGTGGGCATTATAAGTCAGAACGAATAGCACTGGTGATCTGGTGATCAACGACCAGATATATTCCGGCGGTGCATATATATATGTATAAGACATAAAAAATTTCACACAATACGCAATGAATGGCACCGCGGTTGAGAGAATATGAGGGACGACAGAAGAGCTCAAGTCACGTCGATAATGGTGCAGTACCGCCGGCATCTAGCACTGAAGTGTGGGGCGTTGGGTATTGCTCTATCATGGTGAGAGGGTGCACGGCACATTGATAGAGGTTGAGCGTATGAAAATCACCGATAAAAGTGAGAGGGCAAAAGTAATTTAGAGCGAGCAGTCTAGCAGTACTCGGACGGGCTCGTTTCCAAGGCGGATGAAAGTCATGTATCATACCACCTAGAGTTGATAGGCGACGACAGGCAACGAGAGGATTGCCGACTTTTTTAGAACGCGAAACCTACCTGTAGATGTTACTAAGCGAAGAATACCGGCAGTTATCGATTCGTCTACAACATCTGCAGTTGAATTCTATCGATACCCACAAGAACCGTTCACCACAAGGGGCCCTCCATTTGGGAAACCTCGGAACACCCCTAGGTCGCGTGTCAATCGTGGTCGCGGGGGGCGGGGGGGCGGGGGGCGGGGGAGAGGCCCTACATGCCAATTTTGGACGGGGACAATTAGACCAAATCCCCGGGGTTTCGAAGTTCTTCACGCGCGGGATCCCACCCACTCGGGGTCCCACCCTCCCCCCCTAAGCTACTTGTCAATCTTGGTCGCGAGAAGGGGGGGTCTATTGTATGTTTTAGGATATAGCATGACGATACTAAAGCCCATGGAAAAGAGGTTGATATAATAGGTTTGATAACGCGGCACGAAAGCCGGTAGAATGAAGAGTATAATGGTCACACAAAACTTTAGAAGAAATATGGTAGACGGCTGCAAAGTGAGCCGCCTAATGTGGCTATCCTGCGTGTCAATCCTGGCCCGGGGGGTGGGGGTGTTCCACAGTTTCCACATGGAGGGCCTCTTGTTCGCCATACGTGGGATATTACGAGTCAAGCAAGCTGAGCACCGGCAGAAAACAATTGAAATGTACGGCCGTTAGCGACATTAACGGGAAAAAATTACTTGCCGCATTCTTCCTTGTTGTTTTCGTCATCACACATGCCATCCCCGATGCGCGTTACCCAGCCGCAGTGCTCGTACTGTTCCGCGGTGTTGTCGTCGTCGTCCACGCACTCCGCCCCAGGGTCGATGCAGGCGAAACTCCCGGGTTTGCAGTAGTACTCGTAACCATCGTCGTGCGACTCACAGGTGCACTCGCAGCAATCACCACCATCGTAGGCTGAGCGGGCAGGCAAAAGTGGAACAAGAGAAAACGAGAGAAAAACATATATACGGGGAGTTTGGTTGTGTGTTCTCCACAGGTGGTTTACTCCCGGCCGACATTGTAAACCCCCTCTGGAAAGAATTCTACCTGCACAAATCCACGGGAGTCCCGTCTCGGGTGGGTGGGTGTTCTTTCTTTGATGCTGTTAGATTTTCCTCATTAACAGTGGGAAGTACAGACAAGACTTGTGGTTCAGTGGTAGAGAAGGATGTAGCATTGACGACTGATCCATTCGCCTTGCCTGCGCATTTTCTCCTCCTCGCTGGCTGCCGCGTCATAATTTTCGGGTCTCCCACACTACTACAGTTTTTCTAAAACGCCCATGGAACACGCATTGATAACCCATGGGTATGCCCATCGCGTAGCCCACGGCCGGCTAATGAGAGCCCTTCAACCGGAACCACAGTACTCCTGAACAATAGATTATCTGCTGTGGAACGGGCATCATAGCGGATAATAACACTATCGTTCACCATAACCCTATCCCCAAGCCCACACGATTCGTGCCAGGTTGGCGCTGGTGGCTAGTTTCAGACTGACGTGCAGGTGGCTAAGTTCTTCAAGTAGGTTGATATGCCGGTCGCGAAGTTCTAGGTTCAAGTGCCCACGGTGGGCACTTCATGGGCACGTCACCGGCCGCCCATGGGTGACCCATGGGCGGTTCAGCAAAACTGTCAGTAGTGGGAAATTGTAATTTTCAATGCAGCAACCCTGAGGTTGTTGAAAAATACGAATGTTCACGTAAAATAATACTGCCCCAACGGTTGACGTATTCTACACACTCACTTGCATTGACTGTGCACAAGATTCAGCGATCTCTCCACAACACTGGAATATTTTGTTGCACTTCCACGGAGGTGGTATTTCGACGTCAATGGAAGTAGCGAATATCCACTTCATGGAAGCCGAAATATCGTTCCCATGGATGCTTTCATGAAAGTTGAGGCTGCTTCAGTTTGGAGTCTGGAGTCTGGACTATCAATTGACGACTTATCATGGTGTAGCAACCCTCGATGAGCGCCATACTTTCGTGGAAGGCACTTCCAGTTTCAACTTGTCCTATCTTCCATGAAAGCTACGTTTTACTTTCACGGACGTACTACTCGGAAGCATCGTATGGGTTCCACAAGTCGCGTCCACTCATGGGATGGCGTGGGAGACCCCCGTGAACATGTTCGGACCCCATCTAGACTACACACCAACACGAAGAAAATGCACATTCTGGAATGTTGGTGCTGTCGTTGCCATCTAGTACTTGTGTGCTCGAATTCCCAAACACCTAGCGTACAGGAACACACGCCCAACCACAAGAATAAAGGAGCATGGAAAAGGTACGGTCTCTCTTTTGCAGGCGAAACACCGTGCAAATAAATTTGACACGCGGCGCGTCACAGATCATACCGCATTCTGGGCTGTTGTTGACGTCGTCGCAGTAGCCATTCCCGATCTGGCCGGTGTAGCACAGGTCCATCATCTCGACAGTGACGATGTCGTCGTCCACGCACGGTGCGTCCGGATCAATGCAGGCGAAGCCGCCATACATGCCGGTCTGGCAACCCTCTCCGGAATCGTACCATGGGTACCTAGAAGGGTCACACGTGCACTCGCAGCAATCTCCACCATCATAAGCTGGGGAGCGGGGATCGAGCACATATGTATTGTTTGAAGGATCATGGGCGAAGTTTACCCCCCAGCTTTAGGACAACTTGCCAGGGTTTACTGATTGAGGGTATTTTTTCAGGACACAGTGAGGCAAACCCCAGGAGAAGCAGACTCCGTAGTCATGTACTTGGCAGATGGACAACAAAGCTTTCTGTACGTACAGCAGTTACAAACTGCTGAGCTCCAGGAGAGATCGGAACGGCTTGACACTACCCACGTGGGACAACAGAGGCTGGGGCACATGGAGAAGTAAAGACACGAGCCTACGCCACTCATGGTACCACCTCATTTCATTTGGTGGACACCCCAGCACGTTCCGTCTAGCGACAGAGAACACAGGTCAACAGAAAGTATGTGCGACAACTTGACCTAGACTTACCACATTCTTCGTTGTTTAGTAGGCTGTCACAGGCGCCGTTTCCAATGCGCGACGCGTCGTAGCAGTTCTCCATCATGTCAACCGTGACAGCGTCGTCGTCCACGCACGCGGCGCCGGGGTCGATGCAGGCGTAACCAACGTACTGGCCGCAGGTATATTCTCCGTCCTCGCAGGTGCACTCGCAGCAATCGCCGCCATCGAAGCCTTGGGGACGGCGAGCAAGGGACAAAGTCAAATGGTATACATGTTACGAGGCTCCCCTGCGGGAGGTAGGCGCGCTTGCCTCCCGGGGGCGACGCAAGAGTACATGGTCACTGCTTCCATTGGTTGCATCGTCATATATCTCAACCTTCGGGAGTGCCGCGGTTGTGTTCGGTACAAACTGCAGAGAGTACCTCGCATCAACTTGCGCCATCTCCCGCACTACTGACAGTTTTGCCAAACCGCCCATGGGACACCCATCGGTCGCCCATGGGCCTCCCGTGGGTGCTTCGTGGGCCGCCCATGGGCCCACGGGCTGCCCATGAAGTGCCCACGGTGGGCACTTGAACCTAGAACTTCGCCACCGGCATATCAACCTAGAAGTTAGCAACCAGACCCAACCTTGCACGTATCGTGTGGGCTTGGGCTTGGGGATAGGGTTAGCGTAAGGGTCACTGGCCTCAATAATGCCGGTTTCAAAGCAGATAATCCATTGGGATAGGAGTACAATGATTCCGGTTGAAGGGCTCTCATCGGCCGCCCGTGGGCTTCCCATGGGTTGCCTGCACCGATTCTGGTAAAAGTCAATCGTCGGATACCCTGTGAATCAGTTCCTCCTTAATACTCTCCGCCGACAGAATTTATCCTCAACTAGGAACCTCATGTGGCCAGGACGGGTAATTCGATGGAAGTGTCACAAGGTTTTTTGAAGGATCGACTCCAACAGGTGCTCTTAGGACTGACACACGTTTATGTCCATGGGAAAATGTCCAAGTCAGGAGAGAAATGTGCACCCAAGGAGATTCGAGAATGCTGCCGCTGACGCCATATGCCAAGGTGTACCGATTCTGGAAAAAGTCAATCGACGGATACCCTGCGTCATGAATGAATTCGCAGCGCCTACCCGTTTCCCTCTCTTCTCTCTGACGCGCACACAATCAATGCAGAAGAAGCAAGCAGGTTCTATATAGTTTTATCCTTTGCTGCTGCTGTCGTATTCTGCTGTGAATGATAGCAGCAGCAACAACACACCGTACACCTCCCATACTATTGAGTTCTTCAGCAATAGCACTTTTGTTCCCTGCTCGGCGGGCTTTCTGCTATGCATATCATACATTCGCATCTCTCGGGTGAAGTTTGTTGGAACAGATGCTTCGGACAAGAGGTTATCAAAATAAATGTGAATGCAGCCTCAGACTGTCGTAGATTGTGACGTCAGATGACCTGTCGGAGAGCTACCTTCGGGGTGTTACCTCAGACAGAATCAGTGTAGGTTGGATGCTGAAGCTTGATTCAACACAAGGTTGCTCCCCACCTGGAGACAACCATCTCATCGTGGCGTCAGCGGCAGGATGAAACAGCACCCATCGTAATGTTTTGATCGTTTAGAGTCAATAACGTCTCCGTCCCTAAAACGCAGTGCCGCAAATGGTGCACCAGTCAAAGTTCTAGGATTTATTCCGTTCGTCGTTCGGCTGGGAGACGTGTCCCGCCGAATCGATGCGTTGATCGTACCACTCGGTCCTGATCAAATACTCCTCGACAATGATGCAATGACTCGGTTTGGGGTAGTGCTTGACTGGAAAAATGAACGTTTGACTTTTGAGTGTAGTGACACTTTTGTCCTCGCTATTCATCGTAAAAAATCTCAACACGGTGCAGATCCGTTGCCGTCCCCCCGTGTTGCAGCCGTTCGTCGAAATGCGGAGGAACACTCAGTCAAATTACGTCAACATCATAATATTCGCCCTCGTCATGCGATGCTCATAAAAGCATTTACGGAATGCATACCGTCCGTTGATATCGCCGTAGGAGTCGAGCCGCGTATTTTGTCGGCAGATGAGCTCTCGTTGGATACTGTCCCGCCCGAATTCGAACGTTTAATCGTGGCTCGTATCGTCTCAACATGGAGTGCTGTTGATGGGTCTGTATTTGTCCAAATTGAGAATCCATCAGCTGAGTTTTTCGCCGTACATGTTGGATTGGATATTGGAACTTTATCGCCGATTACTATGGTATGGATGGTAGAACAGGAACAGCTTCACGTCCATGCTGTTGCGTCGCTTCCGAAAACCGCGAGTGAACTTGCTGCTGCTAGAGCTGAGCTGGTAGAACCGCTGTCGTCGAAAGCGTTCACAAATTCCACGTTCTCTAAGGAACAGCAAACTCGTATTTTGGACCTGTGCGCAAAAAATGGTCCCGTGGTCTCGCTGAATCGTAAGGAGCTTGGTAAATGCAAAACTGCTCAGGCCACGTTTCCTCTGCCGCCTAACACGAAACCTGTAAATCGTCGTCCCTACCGCGCCAACCCGCACACTGAAGCCGTTATCCGAACGTGGGTTAAGGACATGCTTGACGATGACACTATGACATCATTGAAGAGCTGCCTAGTCAGTGGGATTCCCCCGTTACTCTCGTCGTGCGCAAAGATGGTAAACCTCGTTTTTGCGTCGATCTCCGAGGCACCGTCAAAAGCACATCATTCGCAAGACCTGGCCTCTAGGGAACATGGAGTCCAACCTTGACTCTGTCGGCAGCGCCAAGTTCATCAGCGTTGCAGAGGTCCAGTCAGCGTACTGGCAGATTCCTGTTCTGACCACGTCGAAAGAACAGCCTTTGTCACCAACTCTGGCAAGCACTGTTAAAAGCGGATGCCGTGTGTTCACTGAGACGGCCCACAAAACGTTAGGCCGTATTCCCAAGTTGATGGTTTACATGGACGATTTCTGTGTGCTTTCAGCAACTTTCGAGATCATATGAAGTCCTTAGAGAGAATGTTCGTAGCTTTCCAAGCAGCAGGTCTGACATTGAAATTTGCAAAGGTTTCGTTTGGCCCCAAATCCATCGAGTATTTGGGATACATTAATTTGGCTGAAAGTATTCTGTCGGGAAGGATCGTATTGAAGCCGTCCAAAACCTTCCTACCCCTCCTTGCCTTAAAGACCTTCGCGCACTACTCGGGGTGATTGATTTTGTGCGCCGGTTTATGCCGGATTACGCAGAAACTACCAATTCGTTGGTAGAGTTAACTCGCAAAAAGAGTACGCCACACAATCACGTTTCGTAAAAGCTCGGAACAAATCGTACGACGCCTCGTTCGCTCATCTTAAGCGGTATTTATCTCCACACCCGTGTTACATTTCCCAGACTTCAATCGGGAATTCGTAATTCATGTGGATGCATCCGAACATGGGTGTGGCGCGTTGCCCAGCCGTCCAAGGCTGATCCAGAGTCTCTTGACATAATTGCGTATTATAGTAATCGATTCAAACATGGACAGCGTCATTACTCTGCGTCAATGAAAGAGTGTTGCGGTGTGGTTCTTGTTATGTCGCATCGGCGACCGTACATACTTGGGAATTTACGGTGATCACCGATCATCAAGCGTTGACTCATCTTCTTTATAAGCAAGACACCAGCAACATGCTCACACGTTGGGCTATCGCTCTTCAAAATTACGATTTAACTGTCAAACACGTAGCGGGAAAATTGAACTTCGTACCCGATGCGTTATCTCGCTTATTTAGCGAAATTGAGTCCGAATCTGTATCTCACAAACCGGCCCTGGCGTCGATTTGCAGGAATGTGCCGAGTGATCGTCCGTACCATCCTCCTGGCCCTCGTGACTGCGAAATTTCTGCCGATTCATTGAACGATGTTGATATTGTCCAGAATGACAATGAAGTGTTCGCTAGTGCTGCATTGTTATTGGATTCTTGTCATGATGTTCCTGCGTCAGGGGGTCATCTAGCGTTCAAAGCCACGTACAGCAGACTCAGAAATCGTTTTGGTGGCCGACCATGTCTCGAGATGCGTCCAAACACATTCAGCATTGTACGTCGTGCCAACACCGAAAAACGTCCCACAGACGACCGTTGTTACGTGTGGGTCATCGTCCTGTTACTCGTTATCGCGATCGATTCCCTTGAGCATAACTCCGTATCGCAGGATTGCAAGTACGTCTTGTCGGTCATCGATCACCGGAATCGTTTTCTCGTGTTGATTGCTATTTGGGACATGAAAGCAACAACAATTGCACGGGCCCGCGTAGAGCGTGTCTTTTCGTTTTTTATCCCCCTGAAACGTTGCATAGCGATCAGGGCACTGAGTTCTAGAACAAATTGGTCAAAGAGTTGCAGGCCGCGTTTGGGTTCAAAAAGACTCGGACGTCCGCGTATCGGCCGCAAGGTACCTCTGTATTAGCGCGCGTGCACAGCACAGTGCATGGCATGCTCGCAATGTATGCAAACGTTCGGTAGTTAACTCGCAAAAAGAGTACGCCACACAATCACGTTTCGTAAAAGCTCGGAACAAATCGTACGACGCCTCGTTCGCTCATCTTAAGCGGTATTTATCTCCACACCCGTGTTACATTTCCCAGACTTCAATCGGGAATTCGTAATTCATGTGGATGCATCCGAACATGGGTGTGGCGCGTTGCCCAGCCGTCCAAGGCTGATCCAGAGTCTCTTGACATAATTGCGTATTATAGTAATCGATTCAAACATGGACAGCGTCATTACTCTGCGTCAATGAAAGAGTGTTGCGGTGTGGTTCTTGTTATGTCGCATCGGCGACCGTACATACTTGGGAATTTACGGTGATCACCGATCATCAAGCGTTGACTCATCTTCTTTATAAGCAAGACACCAGCAACATGCTCACACGTTGGGCTATCGCTCTTCAAAATTACGATTTAACTGTCAAACACGTAGCGGGAAAATTGAACTTCGTACCCGATGCGTTATCTCGCTTATTTAGCGAAATTGAGTCCGAATCTGTATCTCACAAACCGGCCCTGGCGTCGATTTGCAGGAATGTGCCGAGTGATCGTCCGTACCATCCTCCTGGCCCTCGTGACTGCGAAATTTCTGCCGATTCATTGAACGATGTTGATATTGTCCAGAATGACAATGAAGTGTTCGCTAGTGCTGCATTGTTATTTCCTGTTCTGGATCCCGCTGAATTGCGAAGAGAACACACAAAGAGTTCGGTCCGTACATCGACTACATCAAGAAACCCAAAACATCACCGTTACCGTCTAGCGAAAGTAAAGGCACCATGAGTTACTTCTTGAATGAGAACGTCCTATTCAGGTCGACGTACCAGGTTATTTCCGTAAACGCAGTTCGTTCCGTGATCAACTTGTCGCTCCCACCATTTTGCGTGCGTCAGTATTGGATTCTTGTCATGATGTTCCTGCGTCAGGGGGTCATCTAGCGTTCAAAGCCACGTACAGCAGACTCAGAAATCGTTTTGGTGGCCGACCATGTCTCGAGATGCGTCCAAACACATTCAGCATTGTACGTCGTGCCAACACCGAAAAACGTCCCACAGACGACCGTTGTTACGTGTGGGTCATCGTCCTGTTACTCGTTATCGCGATCGATTCCCTTGAGCATAACTCCGTATCGCAGGATTGCAAGTACGTCTTGTCGGTCATCGATCACCGGAATCGTTTTCTCGTGTTGATTGCTATTTGGGACATGAAAGCAACAACAATTGCACGGGCCCGCGTAGAGCGTGTCTTTTCGTTTTTTATCCCCCTGAAACGTTGCATAGCGATCAGGGCACTGAGTTCTAGAACAAATTGGTCAAAGAGTTGCAGGCCGCGTTTGGGTTCAAAAAGACTCGGACGTCCGCGTATCGGCCGCAAGGTACCTCTGTATTAGCGCGCGTGCACAGCACAGTGCATGGCATGCTCGCAATGTATGCAAACGTTCGGTCTGATAATTGGGCTGAGCTTTTACCGTTTGCGCAACTCGCCCATAACACCGCGTACAACCATCTCTAGAAGAAACTCATTATCTGATGTTCGGTCGCCAGGCTTTGCTTCACGTGGATGTCATTCTTGGTGTACCGTCTTATGATAGCTCTGGTTCGCGGATGGAATATCACGTCGTACCGTGGATAACTTGCAACTCGCGTTTGAGATCGTTCGTCGTAATTTGACAGAGCGAACTGACAAGCAAGCAGACTCGAACGAAAAATTATCCGTACCGCAGTTCACTCCTGGGGAACAAGTTCTCGTCCATCGTCCCCACACCGTTATTGATAGCCCCAGTACCAAGCTGATCAGCCCTTGGTATGGACCATTCACCGTTCACAAGTGTCGCCCGTCATATATCGTGTTTGCATAGACGGAGAACTTGCGGAAACGTCAGTACACTTGGATCGTATGAAAAAGTACTGAGCTTATCAACGTGGTTCTGTCCCCGATGTTACTGAATTGGATGAGATGTTTTTGGGACAAACGCTTCCAATTCCCATTTGGATGGTACCTGTTTACCGTAAAAATTGAATCGTACGTCGTCGAGGGGGGGGNGCACGCCGGGTTCTCACCGGACCAGGCTCTCACATCACCAAGCGCGAAGCGCCGTGAGATATTCGGCGAGTCGCATGAAGGGTGAGCTGCATCCTGCTAAGGGTGTTCGGCATCTTGTGCTTACTTCCTTGCGTACGGATGGCAGTTGCGTATGACTTAATGTATTTTCTGGTGTTCACGTCCAGAGACAACTGTAAGCACTGCAACTGCCTCGAGGGTGCTTGACCATTTTAACACAACGTGGTGCGACCATCCCCCTTGCGCGGAGTGAGGGTTCTCCACCCCGCACAACATGATCTACTCGACCACCATTATGGTCACCGCCAAAAAAAAAACAGAGGTAACAAAAAAAAAAACGGTAACCAGGTTGCCGAGTTCAAGAAGTGA